TTACAATCCAATATAATCCATATAGCCAAGGCAGGAGACTTGAAGCACAGATTCAATGCAAAGTCCAAGAAACAGCAAGAAGCAGCCTTCCCCAAAGCCAGGAGCCAGAGCTAGCCATAAAGCAACGTTGGAACTGACACCGAGAAATCCCCAGAGCAGAGCATATATTCACTGAACATCAAAACAATCAGCTTTCCCACCAAACTGATGATCTCAACACTTGGCCGCAATCTGTGGGCTCCGTCTCAACATCTGGCCACCTTGACCCTGGTTCTCAGCGTCTGTCTTATCATCTGCATTCCTTTCCTGTGAGAACCGCGGCCTCTCTACAGATACAGGCTGTGACTGAGAAAACTGAAATCCAACATCTGCATCATCCAGTTGAACCACAACAATATGTAAGACTGTAGAATCTATATAGCAATATTAAATAACCACTCACAAGCCGTTTTTGCTTTGAAATTGATATATTGGTTGTATCTCTGCAGCAAAGAAAGACACAACTGACTTTTTCCCACCACCACTTCCTTTTATACACCTTTCCTGCCCATCCCCCCCCTCTTCTCAGTTTCCTTATTAGAACTTGTTGCTTCACAAGTTCCAATACAAGGCTTCCAGCGCCCGCTGCTGGCTTCAAAATGTCACAAAGAGAGAATTGGTTCAGCCAGGATGATTCAGTCAGGATGTCATGGAGGGAATTTGTGATGTCTTCATGCTGTCAGAAATTGACTCCTGTCACCATGAAAATGAACCAAATCTGGCTACCAGTATTAAAAAACTTTAAAATCTTAACAGAAAATAAAGAACAACATTCACAAACAGGAGAACGCCAGACAAGAAACAGTCAAGGACAGCTAATCACCTCTCAACAAAGGATTCCCCCAGGCAGTAAGAAGCCACACCTTGAAAACTGCTGGGCCAGTAAATGCTAATCAAGGTGGCCAATTGAAACATTCACACCTACTTCCCACAGACAAGACTATACACTTGGTCACTTCTTTCTCCCACCCTGGACACTCCACAGATATATAAACCCCATTTTCTTAATTTCCAACAAACCTCACAACCTCTGAGGATGCCTGCCATAGATGTGGGCAAAATGTCAGGAGAGAATGCTTCTGGGACATGGCCAGACAGCCCAAAAAATGTACAGCAACCCAGTGATTCTGGCTATGAAAGCCTTCAACAATACATTAATAAGCATGCCCTCTGAACCTTCATCCAACCTTAGGAAAGATATTGAACAGAACTGGACCCAGGACTGAACCCTCTTTATGTCACTCCATTTGTCACTTCTTTCCAGAAAGAAGAGGAACCATTGGAGAGAAGAACTCTTTGGGTTCAGTCGCTTAACCAATTACAAATCCACCTAACAGTACTATTATCTAGCCCACATTTTACTAGTTTGTCGTCAAGAAGATTACGAGGGACCTTGTCAAAGGCCTTATTGAAATCAAAATATGCTACACCCAAAGTATAAAAAGATTAGATCCGCTTCCAATGGATTAAAAGGGCAAATCAACATTAGGAAGTATGCTGTTGTTGTAAGATCTCTTTGACAGTTCAACAGACTGCCTGAGAAGGTGATGAACGCTCCTTCTTTTGAGATCAATAACAGGAGTTGGATGAACATCTTTCAGGAGTGGTTTAGTTGCATCTCCCTGGATTGGACCTCGTGGTCCCTTCTAATTTAGCAATTGAATGATACCAGGATTTTGAGAATTCGGCTCATGATGGAGTGAGCTTGTCTTCTGCTGCTCTAGAGACTAGAATGTGATTCAATGCATTCTCATTAACAAAAACAGAAGAACTCATTGACTGTCAGAGCCAGTCAAACTTAGAATGAGTCATATGGTGGTGGGCTGTTCTTCTGATCCTTAGACCAGTGTTTCTCAACCTGGGGGTCGGGACCCCTGGGTGGGTCACGAGAGGTTGTCAAAGGGATCACCAAAGACCATCAGAAAATACAATATTTCTGTTGGTCATGGAGTTCTGTGTATCAAGTTTGGCCCAATTCCATCATTGGTGGAGTTCAGAATGCTCCTTGATTGTAGGGGAACTATAAATCCCAGCAACTACAACTCCCAAATGTCATGTTCTATTTTCCCCAAACTCCACTAGTGTTCACATTTGGGCATATTGAGTATTCGTGCCAAGTTTGGTCCAGATCTATCATTGTTTGAGTCTACAGTGCTCTCTAGATGTAGGTGAACTACAGCTCCCAAACTCAAGGTGAATGCCCACCAAACCCTTCCGGTATTTCCTGTTGGTCACGGAAGTTCTGTGTGTCAAGTTTGGTTCAATTCCATCGTTGGTGGACTTCAGAATGCTCCTTGATTGTAGGTGAACTATAAATCCCAGCAATGACAACTCCTAAATGTCATGTTCTATTTTCCCCAAAATCCACTAGTGTTCACATTTGGGCATATTGAGTATTCGTGCCAAGTTTGGTCCAGATCTATCATTGTTTCAGTCGACACTGTTCTCTGGATGTAGGTGAACTACAACTCCCAAACTCAAGGTGAATGCCCACCAAACCCTTCCGGTATTTTCTGTTGGTCATGGGAGTTCTGTGTGTCAAGTTTGGTTCAATTGCATCGTTGGTGGAGTTCAGAATGCTCTTTGATTGTAGGTGAACTAGAAATCCCAGCAACTACAACTCCCAAATGACAGAATCAATTAAACCCCACCTACCCCACCCTGCCCCCCGCCCCAACTCCATCAATATTCAAATTTGGGCGTATCGGGTATTTGTGCTAAATTTGGTCCAGTGAATAAAAATACATCCTGCCTATTGGATATTAACATTACGATTCGTAACAATAGCAAAATTCCAGTTATGAAGTAGCAACCAAAATAATGTTATGGTTGGGGAGTCACCACAACATGAGGAACTGTATTAAGGGGTTGCGGCATTGGGAGGGTTGAGAAACACTGCCTTAGACAGTGGTTGAATGGCCATCTTTCTTCTTACCTGGCCAAAAGGGGTTGGACTAGATGGCCCTTCGGGTCCCTCCCTCTCTAAGATTCCAGGAGTCTAGACTTGGGGGCCCTTCATCTGGAGCCAGAGACTTTTCTAGGCCTGCTTTATATCCAGTCGATTGGATGACACAGGGCCCCAATGTAGTCCACATTCAGCCTTGGCTGAGTCTGAACTGCTTCAGAACTGATCCAACCCAGACTTAGGAAGGTTGAGAAACACTGTCCTAATGGATCAAGAGTAAATGAGAACGGAGCATACTCAGTAGAGCTATTGCCTCTAGAGTGCAGCTCCTCCATGATGACATGATGGCAACAGCCTTGGACAGCAATGGCTCCCAAAGTGACCCATTGAAGGTGGAATCAGGTGTCAAACAGGGATGTGTTATTGCCCCAAGTTTATTCTCCATCTTCATCACTATGATACTTCATCTTGTTGACGGGAAGCTTCCCACCGGAGTGGAAATCATCTATCGGAGAGATGGCAAACTATTTAACCTCAGCAAACTGAAAGCCAAAACCAAGGTTACAACAACATCCGTTATAGAACTCCAGTATGCTGATGACAACGTCATCTGTGCACATTCAGAAGATCTACAAGCCACTCTAAACACCTTTGCAGAACCATACGAGACGCTCGGACTGTCATTGAACATCGAGAAAACCAAAGTGCTCTTCCAGCAGTCACCAGCCAATCCCTCTCCAATGCCAGAAATACAGCTGAATGGTGTAACATTAGAAAATGTTGACCATTTCCACTACCTTGGCAGCCACCTCTCCACCAGGAGCCCCCGGTGACGCAGTGGGTTAAAGCACTGGTTGCAGTTAAGACCGACAGGTTGCAGGTTCGAATCCGGGGAGAGGCGGATGAGCTTCCCTCTATTAGCTCCAGCTCCTCATGCAGGGACATGAGAGAAGCCTCCCACAAGGATGATAAAACATCAAAAATCATCCAGGCGTCCCCTGGGCAACGTCCTTGCAGACGGCCAATTCTCTCACAACAGGAGCAGTTGCTCCCGGCACGACAAAAAAAAAAAAAAAAAACCTCTCCACCAAAGTCAACATTGACACCGAAATACAACACTGCCTGAGCTCTGCGAGTGCAGCATTTTTCCGAAAGAAGCACAGAGTGTTTGAGGACCAGGACATCCGCAGGGATACCAAGGTGCTTGTCTATAAAGCTTATTGTCCTCCCCACCCTGCTATACGCCTGCGAGACGTGGACTGTCTACAGACATCACATGCAACTCCTGGGATGATTCCATCAGTGCTGCCTCCGAAAAATCCTACCAATTTCTTAGGATGACGAGCGGACAAATGTCATTGTGCTGGAAGAAGCAAAGACCACCAGCATTGAAGCAATGCTCCTCCGCCATCAACTCCGCTGGACTGGCCAGGTTGTCTGGGTGCTCAACCACCATCTCCCAAAGCAGTTGTTCTACTCCAAACTCAAGAACGGAAAACGGCATGTTGGAGGACAGGAAAAGAGATTTAAAGATGGGCTCAAAGCCAACCTTAAAAACTCTGGCATAGACACTGAGAACTGGGAAGCCCTGGCCCGTGAGCACTCCAGCTGGAGGTCAGCTGTGACCAGCAGTGCTGCAGAATTTGAAGAGGCACGAATGGAAGGCGAAAGAGAGAAACGTGCCAAGAGGAAGGCGCATCAAGCCAACCCCGACCGGGACCACCTTCTACCTGGAAACCGAAGCCCTCACTGCAGGAGATGACGCAGATCAAGAATAGGGCTCCATAGTCACCTACGGACCCACCCTGGAGGATTATCCTACTCTGACAACGAAGAATCACCTAAGTAAGTAAATAAGTGCCTCTAGAGTAGTAGGGCTATGGAAAACAGGGAAGAAGAGGAAGTGGGAGTAAGAGATGATACTAGGAAGTGGCCTATCCTGCTGGACAAGAGCAAGCCGCTTAATGGGAGGTGAGGCCATCCTCAGGAGGTGAAGCATCCTTTGCAAACAGCATCCTTGTATCTCTGGCTGGAGAGAGCCGCAGATCCGGGTGGGGTCCTTTAGGTGGCAGCACCTCGCCAGGTTTGGGAGCCAGGATGGAAAAGAAAAAGCCACCGCTTCCAAAATAGAGGTCACCAAGGGATGTGGCTTTCCTTGGGTGTGGTGGCGGGCGTCTCCTCCGAGTATCCCACCCCCAAAGAAGAAGCCTCCGGAGAGGTCCACCGCTGGGGAATCGGGAGCAGTTTCAAGGCCTAGCCTGCCTGGCTTTGGAAAACAAGGACATCTGGAGATGCAGATTCATTCATTATTTTTCATCAAAAGAGCCTGGAATGATGGATTCTCCTCATTCATATTAACCGCAGCTTGAAGGCAAGAAGGCCAAAGCCCTGCAAACAGGAGCAAAAACCTCTTGGACCTCCTGCAGAAAAGGGAGCTTTTTTGGCCTGGGGTCCTCTTCCCCTATAATGTTTCCAGTGCTTTAGTGAACAGAAGACGGCTGTGGTTTGGGAGCAAAGGAAAGGACCTGCACACCTTGTCCTGCCTTGCAAGATTGGCATCTTTCTCAGCAACTCCAGGAACAGAGGGGCCTTGACAGGGAGAGGAAGCCAATTCTGGAGAGACGGGACCCACACCATTTCCTCAGAGGTTGTCCCTTTTGTGATGAGCGTGGGAAGCGACCTGGCGTGTGTGGCAACCCCCTTTTGCGCTTTCGAGGGTGATCCGGGCACATTTTGAGCCTCTGGCATAATCCAACTGATTGTTCCCTCCCTGTCTCTCAAAAGAACCCAACATACAACAGATATCCTTCTCCTCTCTGGACTAAGAACTACATCTCTGCCAAGGATGCCCACCACTTCGTCTCCGGAGGAGGACTACTGGATCGAGGCATCCCGGAGGGATGTGGCTCTCCAAGACTTCTACCTCGTGGGTCCCGAGTTGGGCAGGTACGGTCAAGCCGAGCTTTTCACACCTTCCACCGCTCTTTCTGGATAGATTGGATGGCCGTTCAGCTCCTATCTGAAATGTATTAGGCATCCCGCAAGGTGCTGAGCTCTGTCCAAGGAGTAAGCTTGATCTGGTAGCCAACGGCTCATCATTCAACACTGTACAGTCAGCCCTCCACGTTTGTAGGTTCGCTTTTTATGGGGTTTAGTTTCTTGCAGATTTGATTCATGTCGTCTCTCTAGGACAGTGTTTCTCAACCTGGGGGTTGGGACCCTTGAGGGGGGAGGGTCATGAGGCGGTGTCAGAGGGGTTGCCAATGACAATCAGAAAATACATTCTTTTCTGGGTTGTTGTAGGGTTTTTTTCGGGCTATATGGCCATGTTCTAGAGGCATTCTCTCCTGATGTTTTGTCTGCATCTATAGCAAGCATCCTCAGAGGTAGTGAGGTCTGTTGGAACTTTTTTTTTCTTAGTTCCAGCAGACCACACTACCTCTGAGGATGCTTGCCATAGATGCAGGTGAAATGTCAGGAGAGAATGCCTCTAGAACATGGTCATCTAGCCGGAAAAAACCTACAACAATCCAGTGATTCCGGCCATGAAAGCCTTCGACAATACATTCTTTTTTGGGTTGTTGTAGGTTTTTTGGGCTATATATCCATGCTCTAGAAGCATTCTCTCCTGGCGTTTCGCCTGCATCGATGACAAGCATCTTCAGAGGTTGTGAAGTCTGAATCTTCAGAATCTTATGTTTCACTTATCTGCTTCTTTCCTGTCTTTTTTATTCATTCTTCTCTTTACTTCTCTCACTCTCTATATGCTTGCCATAGATGCAGCCGAAACATCAGGAGAGAATGCCTCTAGAACATGGGCATATAGCCCGAAAAAAACCTACAACAACCCAGTGATTCCGGGCATGAAAGCCTTCGACAATACATTGATCATCTGGAAACTGTGTGCCAAGTTTGGTTGAATTCCAATATTGGTGGGGTTCAGAATGCTCTTTGATTGTAGGTGAACTATAAATCCCAGCAACTACAACTCCCAAATGTCAAGGTCTATTTTCCCCAAATTCCACCAGTGTTCACATTTGGGCATATTGAGTATTTGTGCCAAGTTTGGTCCAGATCCATCATTCTTTGAGTCCACAGTGCTCTCTGGATGTAGGTGAACTACAACTCCAAACTCAAGTTCAATGCCCAGCAGACCCTTCCAGTATTTTCTGTTGGTTATGGGAGTTCTGTGTGCCAAGTTTGGTTCAATTCCATCATTGGTGGAGTTCAGAATGCACTTTGATTATAGGTGAACTATAAATCCCAGCAACTACAACTCCCAAATGGCAAATCACACCCACCCAACCCCCCAACCGCACTAGTATTCAAATTTGGGTGTATCAGGTATTTGTGCCAAATTCGGTCCAGTGAATGAAAATACTTCCTGCATGCCAGATATTTACATTATGATTCATAATAGTAGCAAAATGACAGTTAGGAAGTAGCAACGAATATAATTTTATCGTTGGGGAGTCACCACAACATGAGGAACTGTATTAAGGGCTCACGGCATTAGGGTTGAAAAACACTGGGCTAAGAGCCTCTAGGTTCCCAAACTTTTTAAGTCGATGACTGGTTCATGGTTCTTCAGACTATTGGGGGAGGGAGGAAGACTATAGTTCAGTGGTTCCCAACCTTTTTTTTTTTTTTTTGACCAGGGACTACTCTTAATATTAGTACAAAAAGAGTTACAAATCATTTTTTGGTCAGCTGTTGATTCAGTGTGGTTATTTGGGGTGCTGGTTCAGAATATTGCATCGGATAGACCACATCAATTCTAGTTTCTGATACAGAACATATGCCATCCAATAGTCGCCCACAGAAAGCCATATTTAATAATTAGAGCTGATGTGGTAATCTTTCGTGGGTAGTCAGCCTCTTTCCTCCTGACGTCCCCGTTGCCTTGGCACTATAAGAGGGTTTTGTGAGACCAGTTGCTCTCGTTGCCATGTGGTTTCGAGGCAACAGTGTAGTAACGGTGAGACTGCGGACCATATTTTTGTTCTTGTGGAGCGCTGGTGGTCCACGGACCGCAGGTTGGGTACCACTGGCTTAGGTGATCCCTCGCTGTCTGAGTACGATGGCCTCCCAAGCGTAGTGTCTTGGCGGTGGATATGTAGGTGACTGTGGAGCCCTATTCTTGATCCACATGTTCTTCCACAGTGAAAGCATTGGTCTCTTTAGGGGGCGGTTCACGGTCCCGCAGACTGTTAAGGAAGGGAGGCAAACTGTAGAAACATGAACAAATTCCTCTGCGCACTGCACATTTCTTGTGAAAGAACAATGCCATATTTTAAAAGAAGACCATTGTTAACCATCATAAACTTGCCAAGAGTTCAATGGGAAGTGTGAACCTGCTTTTGGCTGATAAGAGAGTCGCTAAATCGGATTGTTGTTGTTGTGTGCCTTCAAGTTGTTTTCGGACTCAGGGTGGACCTCATTCTAACATTTAGGGCAGGGGCCAGGTCAAGGTCCCTGAAGAGCCACATCTGGCTCTCATCTTGGGAAGCCCTGCTCTAGGTGATGCCCAATGGCCACTATCCAGTGGACATTCGTGGAATTTATTATTATGAAAACAGAATGCAAACAGCGTCTCTGAGCAGATTCAGAGAAGGGCGGTTTGGAGGGAAAGGGAGATGGAGGACAAAACCTATGGGGAAAGGATGAAGGAACTCATCAGTATTTACAGTATTTATATTCCACCCTTCTCACCCCGAAAAAGACTCAGAACGTATCACAGAATACATATATGGCAAACATTCAGTGCCATTATACACTGTCAGGACAGACAACTGTACATAGATAGGAGTGTATATAGGCTTTCCCATCTTCTGCATCTTGGAGGCTGTCTTGGTTTCGGCCACAGGGGAAAGGGGCACAGAGACAGCTTTGGTCGCCTTGGTGGATGACCTCCGCAGAGAACTGGACAGGGGAAGTGTGACCCTGTTAGTTCTCTTGGACATCTCAGCGGCTTTCGATACCATCGATCATGGTATCCTTCTGGGACGACTCTCTGGGTTGGGCCTTGGGGGCATGGTTCTATTGTGGCTCCGTTCCTTCCTGGAGGGTCGCTCCCAGTTGGTGAAGCTGGGAGACACCTGCTCAGACCCCTGGCCTTTGACCTGTGGGGTCCCACAAGGTTCCATTCTCTCTCCCATTCTTTTCAACATCTACATGAAACCGCTGGGTGAGGTCATCCGGAGTTTTGGAGTTGGGTGCCATCTCTACGCAGATGACATGCAACTCTACTACTCTTTTCCACCTAATTCCGAGGAAGCCCCTCGGGTGCTGGATGAGTGTCTGACTGCTGTGGCTGTCTGGATGAGGAAGAACAAGCTGAAGATCAATCCCGACAAGACAGAGGTCCTCCTGGTCGATCGTAAACCGAATCGGGGTATAGGGTGGCAACCTGTGTTGGACGGGGTTGCACTCCCCCTGAAGTCACAGGTCCGCAGTTTGGGTGGCCTCCTGGACTCATCACTGTTGCTTGAAGCTCAGACGTCGGCGGTGGCTGGGAGGGCCATCGCACAATTGAGACCCGTGCGCCAACTGTGACCGTACCTCGTGAAGGCGGATCTGGCCAGGGTGGTCCACGCCTTAGTCACTTCCATATTGGACTACTGTAACACACTCTACGTGGGGCTGCCCTTGAAAACGGCCCGGAAATTTCAATTGGTCCAACGGGCGGCAACCAGATTGTTAACTGGTGCTCCTTATAGGGAGAGGTCAACCCTCCTGTTTAAGAAGCTCCACTGGCTGCCATTCATTTTCTGGTCCCAATTCAAGGTGCAGGTGCTTACCTACAAAGCCCTAAACAGTTTGGGACCCACCTACCTGCATGACCGCATCTCTGTGTACGAACCCACACGATCTCTTCGTTCATCTGGAGAGGCCCTGCTCACGCTCCCACCTGCATCGCAAGCGCAATTGGTGGGGACGAGGGAAAGGGTTTTCTCGGTGGTGGCCCCTCGACTCTAGAACTCTCTCCCTAAGGACATCAGGCAGGCCCCATCGCTAGCAATCTTTAGGAGGAGCTTGAAAACGTGGTTGTTCCAGTGTGCCTTTCCAGAATAAGGAAACGACTAGCATTATGTCCCAACACACTTGGGCATGCAGATCCAGGATATCTGCATGCCCATCCCCCTCCAAACACCCCACCTTGTCATGCCCAGCACTTTTAATTTTAATTATTACATTTGGCCCGTCCATTGTTTTTAATTGCATTATTATTATTAATAATAATAATAATATTATTAATATTATTATTATTAAGGGGGGAGGTGTGTGCTGTCCCTCCACTTTCCCTGCCAAAGAGCTTTGTTCGTAAACTTCCTCCCTGATCGAATCGCCGGCATTTTTCTGGAATTTCCTTATGGGTACCTTAAATACCTGCTTAAGGGGGAGCTCAGGGCGGCTTCACAACAAGCACTTGTTCAGTGCTGTCCCCATTCATAAAAAGACATTTAAAACAATTCATTAAAACATTACATTAATAAGGCACGTGTTTAAAATTACACAGGTATAAAATCCAAGTCCGGGTCAGTCTATTGTCATTGCTATGACTTGAGTTTTATTCTCGATTGCTGCCTCTATCGTTCAAATGCTTGGTCCCGTAACCAGGTTTTGAGTTTCTTTCTAAAGGAAAGCTGGGAGGTAACCAATCTGATGTCACTGGGGAGAGAGTTCCACAGGCGGGGGATCACTACCAAGAAGGCCCTGTCTCTCATCTCCACCAGTCGCGTTTACGTTTGTGGTGGGATCGAGAGCAGGGCCTCTCCAGCTGATCTCAAACTTCATAAGGATTCGTAAGTGGAGATACATTCGGACAGGAAATCTGGGCCGGAATCATTCAGGGCTTTAAAAGTTAAGACCAGTACTTTGAATTGAGCTCGGTAGCAGATTGGCAGAGGGCTTGTATGCTCTCTGTATGCCACTCTGGTGAGCAA